AGCTACAGGATGATAGACCAGAAGTGGAACTGGGGACATGAAACTGCTCTTGTCCACCCCGCTACCCCTCCAGGAGGTTGCCAAGTACCTTGAGTGCTGCCATCTCAATGTGAAACCCAACAAACATCACAATAAAATGATCTTCACTGTGAGTTGCTGGCCAGCTCCACCGGGTTTGTTTTGCCACAGCGTATAGAGGTTGATCGAGAGTAATGATTGGTATCTGACCAGGATTCAGAATCTCCAATGCCTGCCTTACCACATCCATGGAATGACAAATCATGGCCACAGATTTGGCCTGGTCGTAGAAGAGGGGAAGTAGAGAAGTGAGTGTGACAGTGGTCTCTGGTATTGTATGACCGCACTAGCAGCCAGGAGTCAGTCAATCAGGCACGCAAGCAGCTCTTCACCCAGAAAGATATAACAATTGAAGTACTCCCCCAACATAAGCAGCATTGATTCAGCACACAAAGAGGGCTGCCTTCCAAGCTGGTCACTGCTGGGGACAGATGATGTTCTCAGCCCCTGGACTCCCATCCCCAGGTGACTGGATGCAAAAAGGGGTGCAGTGGACAATTTTCAAATGTGTCAAGGCAGGAAATTCAGTGCAATGCCCTTTGTGGGGGACTGTGTTTTCAGAACTAACTCTGCATTTAGTTGAAAACCTGTAATATTACATATATATTATGTAACATGTATTACTTCTCCATAATAGATATGTTAATGGTTTTACTGTGTATTTTGTTCCCTGAATACCAGATACATGGATTTAGCTACATTCTAGCATGTTGTAAATAGTACCACTGCATTCCTCATCCTTGAAAATGTAGGATTAGCCACCAGAATCAAGATCATAGGTGGTCTAGATCCTAAGCTACTGGTAAAATAACAACCAATGGACAAATATGCGATGGCCCATAGCCAGAAATCTTCCTTAGGGCATGCTCTAACAGTGTGCCAAAGTTCATGTTTTTATCATCAAAAGCACAATTCTTTGAGATATTTCACATATCTGCTGGACTATGAGATAAATCAGGCCATGCTTCACGCCTCCACCGTTCCCGGAAATGCATCCGCGGAGGAGCCGTGGATGAACCATCAGTGTATCCTCGGCTATAGCTCCTCCAGACAGCCTCCTCGATGCACAATGCTCGGTCCTCGATGTGCATTTAGTGAAATGAGATGTCCTTCAACATGGCGCGCTGAAATCCATTTCCGGGTTACTACCGGAGGACCGAGGAGTCGAGGAGGGGAAATTAGAGTATTGAGAAGCCTTCAATGAGAAACATTACTTCTTGTTCTGTGGTCTGAGGTCAGACTAGCCCTACAGTGATTCTACTTCACTTCTCGGGGAACTATAGTGGTATCACTGGAAATAACTGGCTAGTCAGTTAGCATGCTAATCTCAGTAGCTACCTCTGCGACACAGCACAGTGAGTCTTTGACTTTGCGTGAATACTGTAACCTCTTCACATTCTATTAATTATGTTAGTTAATTAATTTTTTTATGTTTAAATACAAATTCGGGCATTATCATACACATTGCAACTTCAAGTCTCTAAGTGTAGTTGGGCTACCTGATGAGGTCCAGTGGTTGGTATTTGTACCACACGCCCCACCAGGCCCAGCATTCGTACAACAGGTGCCGATGGTTCTCTGCTCCGTGTGTTCTGATGGAGTTTTTGCTGTGGTAGCTCCCCTGTTAAAGTCCCAAAACATTATGTACACACACAGACATGGAGAAACACAATGTAGGAACTGTATGCATTGCTGTAATATCACAGAAAACAGTGATGACTTAAAAACAGGTAATGTAATTAATTAATTTATGGAGATCGCCAAAAATTACCTCGTGAAGAGGGAAAGCTGACTCATATGAACTATTGCTCAACAGACGATTAAGCCCTGAAAACAAAAACAGGGGATATTTAAAGAAGAGCAACAGAAGCTATATGCTGTAGCAGATAATAAGGGATGTGACTTTTTATTTAAAATATTGTTAAAATCTGATCTGCTTGAATACAATTCTCAGTGAATAAGCACAACAACATGCCTTGTAGTGTTTCTGAGGGTGTTTGTAAAAAGGATTGTCAATCTGACCGTTGTCCATTCGATCAGAGATGGGACCAAGTCATTGTTTTGCTTGTCCAAAGTAGCAAGTCTTTGCAATCAGGTTCCAAGTCTTTAACATTCAATTTCAAGTCATACACAAGTTTTCTTAAAATGTAAGTGACTGTAAGCCCTTAACCAAAGATTTAGATATAAGAGCAAAGGAACAGTTTTACGCCCATTTTTAAAGCTTTTTAAAACGACGTCAGCTCACTCATTGTTTGTCTGCAATATGAATACTGTCTCTGGACTTCCTTTTCCTTATGTTTCAAATATTATTAGTATATAATGCCTTGGGAAAAACTCACCCATCTTATTTTTGCCCTCCTCATATTTGACCCGCTGAAGGATGTGATGGGCGATGCGACTTCTTGTGGCGTTGTTGAAAAAGGTGTCTTTGTTGTGGATGATGAAACTGCATTGAAACAAACCAGTAGACATTTTTGTGTGTTCATCATCAATTTTGTGTCTCAGGTAAATGTTTTAAATGGTTGTTTCATGAAGACTCACTGATGTATCCTTGATCGACTGAAGGGGGCAGTGAAGCTCTCGTTTTCCTCTAGGTCGGGTAAAGTGTTGTTGTCAAACTTCATGGGCTTTCGAGGAAGCCAGCCACGAAATTTGTTGATGCGCTTTTCCATCCTGCAAGTGAAGTTTCTGTTAAAGCTCCAAGACAAGGGGTTTTGCTTCATCAGCTTATTTCATGCTGCCTCTTTAACTGAACACTCACCTGCTCATGAACTTGGGCCGTCGGTGCATGAAAAAGATTTTTCTCCTGGAATATGCAGAAATGAAGTATTAATATAGAACAGTTCAAAGGATATAAACATTACTACTATGGTTCCTGTTGCTGCTACAAGTATCAGTTATATTATGTGCTTTTGCTATTACTAATAAATATGATAATACTAATAAAAGTATACATTTTAAAGGATCCCACTGGAGATTTTTGACCAGTACTGCAATGGAGATTTTTTTTAATGAATGGTCTTTGTTCTTTGCCGAAACTATTCAGGTTTTATAATCTATTCACAAGGTTGATTACCTTAAAGGTGAGGTAGATAATTTTGGAGAAACCAGCTCGAGTGCGCTAGGATTTGAAAATACACAGCCGGAGAAAATCTGCCACTTCCTTACAGAGCCCCTCCTCCAACACACACGAACGCGCACATGACCAATGAGGGCACGAGATAAGTTTGTGCACAGATGGAAGGCTGACAGGCAGGTAGGCCATCCAGTTACTTTAGCAGGGCCGGCTAAAATGATTGGTCGTGCTTTTTACAGTACTACGGCTTCCACAGATGACATTTTTTAATGGATTTTTTGTCAAAGCACTTCAGATATTCATTGCTATCGGGATGTTAAGAGCATTCCATGGAATATAACAAAAAGTGTATTTCGAGCCGGTTTCTCAAACGTACCTACCCCACCTTTAAGAAGGAATGCCGCTTTTATTAACTTTAGTGATAATGACAGGAGCAAAGGTGGAACTTGGGTGAGATAGTATAAAGCGCATGAAACTCCAAAAGGGGGGAAGAAAAAAGGTTTTTCTGCGAGATCGCCGTGTGAGAACATCATGTTGATGTGTTTGTGTTTCACTTTCACTTTACAAACAGTTACTCCTAAACCTGAAAAAAAAATGTTATGTCTTCACTTAAAGAACTTATTTTGTTAGTGTTCAAAACTTTTGTTTCATTCAGTTTTACGTGTTTCACTTTGAATTTAACAATGTAGTAGGTGCAATTTGGCACATCCCACACAAAAGAAGGGTAGTGATGACAGGAGATTTAACCAACTATGTGCAATATGTAAAATATGTGCAATAAATATATATATATATATATGCCGTTAAAAACTGTGCAATATATACCTGGCTGCTAAATCCTCAGAACTGTTACAGGGTGTGTATTTTTGTAAAATGTGTAACTTCTTTATTATAATTAATTTGTTTATCTTTAGTACTTTTTGTATGCATGCTTAGGTAACATTAAGCTGTCTTTGGTTCTTTTGTGACTAATAAAGGTATTCTGATTCTGAACCAGCTTCGAAATAGGTGCAAACAAAAGCAATGAATAAAGACCAAAGACGTCAACATTTGGATATCAAAAACGGTTGAATAGAAGGGAAATGCCTTACATGATACACTTAGTCTGTGGTCTCACCTAAAAGGCATACGGATGTTCATGAGCTCTGCGTAGCGACAGAGGACATCCCACGGTGCATGAAGCTTCAGAAAAATCACATCACTGTTTGTCAAAGAGGCCTGGAAGAGATCAGCATCAACATGTTCAACTTCAATATGTTTGCTTTGTTCTGCTCTTCACCTCCTGCTCGTGTTACAAGAATCAGGAGAATACAATCCCGATGTTGAAGGACACAGACCACAAGTTTTCCCTGTGTGTGTTACTGCATTGGCAGATAAATTGGAATACACACTTTTTTTTTTTGACACTTGAAATAAGAATTGCTTAATATAAGCAGCATTGAGCACAATTATTTGGGTTTTATGAGTCATGGCTGAATAACAAATGGCACAGCAGCACTCTAAATTCAGCAATCCGAGATTACATGGATTTTAAGGCTAAGCATTAAATGCCTTTTTCATGAAATCTGTATTGATGTTGCTAATGTTGGCTAAGTCTCTCTCACAGTCATCAGCAAAAGAACCAGATATTTCCATCAGGGTCGGGGGAGAACAAAGTTGAGTTGGATATTGGAGAGACAGCAAGCGCATTTCGTGGCTTCTGCAGGCAGTGGCAAGTACTTCCGGCATCTGCCACAGATGTCACACCTTGCCGATGCATCTGCCGCTGCTGAACGGGAGTTGCCACAAGATGGCAGACCTCGATTCCACCGGGTCCGTCTGCGTCGCGTCACGGCTGCGCCGCGGTTTTGGTCCGGCCTCCTCCGGCGTCATACCCTACCGGGAGCGTTTCAGAAGCATTTCAGAAGCGGAGCGTCTTGCCTGCCGGCTCGCAGTTTTTGTTGATTTGGGCATATTTCCTGGACAGGCTACTTTGTACAGACAAAGTCAATAATAATTGTAATATTCCAGTTATAAACGACATGAATCAAAGATGTGTTGCTGTATTTTAGTGGTAAAAAAATGCATTCATCATCATAATTATTCTATATATTGTAGTGCCGAGAGAAGGGAGTCGGAGGCGGTGCAATGTAGATACAAAGCTGGCTTTATTGAGCAGCAGAAATGCTCATGTTGTTGGGTCGGAGCCCGGGAAGCGAAGAGAGAGAAGAAAGGAGGGCACACAGTGACCGTTTCTCAATCGCGAGGATGCTTGCTTGGTAGCACCTGTCTTCCGAGTCACTTGCTTCAGAAGCTAGGCAAGAATCCTTCCTGGCATTCGGAAAACGAAGAGTGGAACAGGCTAGCAAGTGTGCGTCATATGAGAGGCCCCGCCTTACATTTTCCGCCACAGATTTGGGGAAATTGGTCCGTGCGCAAAGCATTGTGGGGATTTTAAGGACGCGAAGTCTACCCATGTGCAGCCTCGAAATTAACCCCAAACCAAGGACGCGGCCTCGGTGGAATTCCAAGTATGCTGGAGATTGGAACAGTCCTTCGGCGGCACTCGATGACGTAGCATCCTTGAAATATTGGCTTGGAAGCCAGTTTCCTCGAGATTGAGAAACGGCCAGTAAGTACACAGGAGGTACCGTCAACAAATGTGTCCGTGCAGAACAATACCCCCAACCTGTAGTTCCAGTGCCGAGACGCTTCTGGGACGCTTCTGAGCCGTAACGCGGCGCGTCTGGTGGAATAACACCCATTGACTAGAGTGGCCGCGATCTTTGCGAACTCCGCGGCGCAG